ACATACCAATGCAAACAAGAACGCAGTAGCTACACGCACGCATTGCGGGCCTATTTTTTTATTTCTAGAGGGTTGGGAGACATGAAAATTGCTCACGAGTGGGCTTAAAACGGAAGTAGCTCTAAGAGGCCTGAAAATGCATGTTTCGAGTTGGGGCCCGGCGAGGGTGTTTTTTTTATTTTTAGAGGGCTGGGAAGGCCGTTTTCTTGCATAATGTCCTGGTAGCCCCATTTCCTATACTACCATTTTTGTATTGCTATTGTATGCATTAGCCATGCACTACCCACCTTAGCCACCTCGGCTTTTCAATTTTTGTAAGTTTTGAATTCAAAGGTCTGCTTATTGCCCTTATTGCCCTAGATTATTGTTGTTACATCCATATGTGCCCAGAAGATTGTTGAAGCAAAGGGAGAAGGATCAGCCAGACATGGGGAGGAAATTAATTGTAACACATGTAACTGTTTATTTTTCACTAAATTTTTGCTATGTGCCACGTAGACAAAGGAAAATGTTTTCCAAAAAAAGTAAAAATGTAAATGTACATATGTTTTATTGAAGCAACACTAGACTCCCAACCTTTCGAGAGCTAAATATGAGAAATACACCTGCAACTGAGCAAGAGTGATACATTTCCAGTTTGAATTCAGCTTTCATTTCTCATGTTACAATTGCATGAAAAACAACAGTAACAGTTCCTGGAAGCAGTGTCATGAATGTATATATGAATGAATGTGTGGTATTATTGTAAATGAAAGAGATCAGATGCTACAATCTACCTTCATACTTTACAAAGTTTATTGATTGATTGATTGATTGATTCTAAATAAAAGGTGCATGTTTGTTAATCCTCTGCGTATGTACATGGAAATCTAGTGTCAATAGATATCAGATTTACAATAAAGAGTCATTAGAAATTCACAATTGTAAGTGACCTGTATGTAGTAGGTATTTCTTGTTTCCTTCTATTTTACTCCTGAAAGCGTAAGTCGAGGGCACTTGTGAGTTGAATCTTCTGGTGTAGTATTCATATCGATATGCCTTAAGATGTAACTCCGAAAATATTTGAAAGAAGTGTCTCAGTTGCTTCTTTTCGCAGAATTTCTACTCGTAATCGATAGGAAAATGCTTGGCTAGTTGTTTCTTGTTGATTTCGAGTTGGGTTGAGACAGAGAAATGGCTTTTGTGTTTTAGTGGATGTTATGAAACGGCCATAAATCGTTAAGTTATATGTAAACAGTCCGCCAGCACAGAAAAAATATTGAAGTCCTCAAACATTTTATGGCTTTTTTGAGAACTTTATTGATTGCTCTCACATGCATGTTAGAATAATGTAAATCTGCAAATAATTTTTGTCTATAAATTTGTCAGGCCAAGGATAAGTTTGGACCTGACAAAAAGCTAGTCTGGTCGGACATTATTATTATTATTTTTTTTTTTGTCGTTAGAAATTAAAAATAGGAGACATTTGACAAATTTGCAAACGTTTGTACCCCTAATTTGCCTTCACTCACTTGATCACACGTGTATTCTGTATTTTCCCGCGTATCGAGTTTTCCGCGGCGTCTAAGGAAAAACCACGGGAAAATCCCACATAGACAGCTCGTCAGTATAAAAACTTACAATAATATTCAGAGACTTCAAAATTGGCTGAAATGAATTCTTCGACTTTTTCTGAAGGTCAATTGAATACAATTTACGTAATTAGATGAAATTCGAATTGGAAGTGGTCGTGACTACAAAGCGTGACTAATTTGCACATTTACGCTTTTCACAAAAACATGTATGTGGTAAGGAAACTAATTCAAACCATGTTGAACCACAGAGGTAAAAGAAACTTTAGAGAGCTCTAAAACTCATTTTGGTTACGTTTTAGAGGTTTTAACATTTTTGAAAGCGATTGCATTCAGATAAACGAAATTTGGGCCGTGTATCCAATTGCATAATATTTCAATGGGGTCAAATTACGACTGAAAATTAATTCCACAACACTTGCAGATAAGAAACAACGAGTAACAGCATAAGACCTCAGATTTTGGTAGTTTTTCAGACGAGCGTAATTCAGACTAAATGAGGCTTCACAATCTTTCACGACACCACTCTAAAATGCGCAAATTAACACGTAGCTTGAATAATGGCGCTGATGCGGCGTGTTTACAATTCGACGTGACATTTCAGACGACGCATTACGCGTGATAAAATTATTTCTCAGAAATGGAATAAAAACGGAACTGATAACAAAGGTTTATTGCCTAGTATTGTTTGGTAGTATAATAAAATAGCTTGTTCCATATTCCGCCACAAATTTCCAGTTAAAATATTTTTCGTTTTGCAGAAATGCTCGGTCAGAGTGTCCGACCAGGCTAAGCTTTTACCTGTCAAAACCTTAAGTTTACCGGACAATTGTCCGATGACCGACTGTTATTTGCAGGCTTCATGATGTGTATTTGGTTTTGTCCATTGCAGATATTGGCCATCAATTGAAGGCTATTCACAACACTACGAAATATGCACCTTACTTAAGATGAAGCCACGGACAGAAATCAAATTGCCCAGTTGAAATGAATATCTGTGCTTTTAGACTGATAGTTGCACAACATGACCCAGTGGATTTTATTTTCATATGGTCATTCTTGTTGTAGAAATACAACACCAAATGTGGCTAATTAAATATGCATAAATTTGTAAATGCCATTTTTGCAGGGGGTCCACCTAACTTGAAGGGAATAAAATATTTTGACCTACTTTCTTGGGACAATCATTCACTCACCAAACCCAACATTTGTGCCAAGTTTGAGCGAAATCGGTGACTTGAGCTGTATCACCTCCTGCCTGGTTCTGCCTGGTTTTCTCGTGGACACATTCTTGAACAAACATTAAAGTTAACACCTTACGGCGTTAGTGCCTCAGCACCTTAGCGAACAGCAGCCCCCTAAACCATCTCAATAGTTCACTCTGCAAAGTTTCTGTTACAGGGAGTATTGTTGCCATGGTAACTTATTATGCTATGAAGATAACTCCAGCTTGTTTATGTGTTACCAATATTGTACCATCATTTGATATAGATTGGTAGAATCAATCTCTTAAAGTATAACGGCTGAAAAGTGCTGGAAACTGTCACCACCTATCTTAAGAATCAAACCATACCTGTTACAACAACCCTGACAATGCTGACCTGATCCTGAAGACCTGCAGTTGGTTCTGCTCTTAGAGTGCACCGGAAGGTTGTGCTATCTTGAAAGGTGACGTTTGTAATTAACAGAGAAGCTCTTCCTTCGATGTCTATTCGTCCTTTGTAAGCTGATGGCATGCCAGATGAAATTGCTCTGTCACCATTCTTTAGCTCTGTCATCAAAGTATTAAACTGATGTTTGAAGTATACTGTCCAGATGATACCCTTGAGCTCTCTCTGTCTATCAGTAACACTGTAGTCCCATACAAGTGTGGCATTGTTTCCCTTCTTTACATAACTTGGGTTGTTTGGTTCTTTTGTGAAACTGATCGCTCCCTCTTAAAAAAAAATAAACATCATAAAGTGACAAGAAAGAAAATTATTACAATTTCAAATGACAGAAATTGGATTTTTTTCAAGCAGTCAGGGCTTTCGTTTTAGGTTGGGCATTATTTAGCACAGAGGGCCACTAGTTTATCAGTTTATACTGTCATTTGTCACCCTCTCTAAATAAAGTTGAATGTTTGATTGATTGATTGATTGATTGATTGATTGATTAGTCCAGTGACTAATTTGGAACTGTAAGCAGCGATGAACCCTTTTGTTGAAAGCTGAGGTAGGAGAATATTCTAGATTAGGAAAACAGAAGCTCTTCCAGAGCCTCTCGATAAACTAGACATTTCTAGACTGATAACTCTGTTACCGTTGATGTCTATTACGTTGCTCGAACGTTCTGGAATTGCGTGACGTAGAAAATATTTTGAAATAGCTGTGATGTAATCTAACGTAGAAAAGTAGAATAATGTGTTCCCCCTGGTTTGCTTTTAGTTTGCACACCATGTTCTTGTAACTTGTGCTATCAACTTAGAGTTATGTTATTATGCACGTGCTGTCCCTTCAGTTTCTTTTGTTAACGTCCTCCCTATCGCCTTGATCGTTTGCCTTCTTCCCATGGTAGCCTGAAAGGGTGTCTAATGCCGTAGTCGGATTAGTGACGCTTAGGCTGCCATCCCTTGTATGGGCTTACTCACGTTTCCTCCTCACCTTTTTGTTTCTCCTTTGGCATGTGCCCTTTTTCACGGTATGTTATCGTCTCAAAGGATGGAAACGTTTGAATATTTTATTCACGCCCTCCTATCTGTTTTTTCCCCGAGGCACACTTTACAAGGGTGAAACTCTAAACAGTTTTCGAGCCGAGGTAGCCCTTTCTGGTGGCCCCTTCGGCCCAAACACTGACGTCAAATTCTGTCGTCACAGCCTAACCCATTTCACTTTTGCCTTCCACTTGGGCCCTTTTCCTAAGTTTTCAGAGGCTAGGATTTTCTAGTTTAAGTTTTGGGTTTTTCTTTTGTCCACACATTGGAGTGTTAGTTGTCGATGTCTAAGTCAGATCAGCGAGACCACGAATGCTCAAACAAAATAGGCATGCTCAAATGTGTGTCATGTTTCAGTAGTAGTCGGAAACTAAACCAACGATTCCCACACGCGGGAAAACTTGTCGAAAAACATGACACACACTTGTCATCCATATTTGAACGTACGTATTGTGTTTTGAGCATAAATAGTGAACGTTCTTTCCCAAGCTCTCGCTGGCCTGACGTAGTTATCGACATTTAAAACTCCAATGTGTGGAATGGTAGCATCGGACACAATTAGCTGTGGATATCATTATGTTGTCGATAACAAATATCTAGTCTGTGGAGGCCCTAAAACATGCTACTTATCTGTCAGAATTGTATGTCAAATATCGACATTCTATTCCAATGTCCTATCGAGTAGCTACAGATACACTCATTCTCCGGCTACGTTTTCTGCTTGCGTCCTCTTTCAATTGTAAATATGACACAATTTAATATAGCTGCAGTTCACGTATTCCACATGAATAATCGAAAGAAGAGGATTCGACCAGACTAAGCTCGCAAAGTGATGACGAAGAACGACAACAAGACGCCGTCGAGCTGTGCTTCGACAAACTCAGACTCATAGAAGAAAAATTGGACAAAGTCTTCCTCATACTTCCGGAGTTCGACCACCTTAAAGCAAGAGTTGCGAGACTTGAAGAGGAAAAACAGAACATGACAGAATGTCTTCATTTCATGCATGCAGGAAGACATAAATGAGTTAAGAGCCAAAGTCGAGTCGACTACTGCTAGCTTGCAAGAAGCAAACAACGAGCTAGAAAAGCTCAGCGAGCTGGAACGCCGTCAAATAAACAGGAATGTTATAACCGACGCAACAACATTACAGTGTAACGAACTCAACCCAACATTTTTCTGTCATTCACAAGACTATTTCAGAACAAAGGAATCGGAGTTCGTTCATTTCGGACCAATCACAGCTGAGGGACTTACGGCAAAAAGTTGTTTATTTCCATCAACGAAAAGGCAACTAAATATTTACTGAAAGGCACCACGAAGTTTTAAGACTAAAACGGACCAAACACAAATACATTTAACCAATGATGGCCTGACTGAAGATAAAACAGACTCAACGCAAATTTGACTTATATTTACAAATATGTTTACCGAACGACTCGACGGTGGCTCGACGGTCGTGAATGTTGTAGGTTGAGGACTCGACGGACTTACATTGTAACGTAAAATATATTTTATATTTGGAATGACTACAACGGACTAAATATCAGTATTTGGACTCAACAATGGAAACAACGAGGGGCGAAATAAAATAAATAACTTCCAGTCACTGAACTGTTATAACGGATCGCCAGCAGTTGACGCGACCGTCGACAAAACGTTTCATGACCAGCCGATAAGTTTTTACAACCTGTAACATCAATTTGAACAGGGTTGTTATCATCCTTACTACATAATGCAGTGCATTACGTTTCACAATACAAATCAACTGTAAGTGTTACAGAACAAAATGTAATCCCTAACAATATAATCACACGTCGCTTCTAAACAGAGTATAAGGCCCGGTTCAAATGTTCAAACGTTACACGTGCCGAATCTTATGTCAATTTGGGTCGACCCAAATAATTAAGTTCGGCAGTTGATTCAAACGTCGCACTTAATTTAGTCGGACTTAATTGCAAAAATAAAAGAGACACTATTGCAAACGGCGATTATTGCTGACCAAAATGGCAGAAAAAATGCGGGAAAGACAAATTGCGGAATTGAAGAGCTTGTTTTTCTTGCAAGTGCAATCAAGGAGGGCAGAAGAAGGTGACCCTAGATGCAGTTGGCATTAAACAACCAAAGACGATTCAATTTGGTTTGCCTTCTATTATTGGTTATTCCCAATGGATCATCACAGTTCCTCGTTCAGTTCGTTGTTGTCGTCGGTTTCTTCAAAATTAATTTATTTTGTTATTTTCTCTCAAAAACATGACTCGCAGTGCGTCAAAAACAAAATTTAAAAATTACCCTAAACTCATATTAAAAAACAAGATAATTTCGATGAAAAATTAGCACTGAACTTATCATAAAAATAAGCAAACAATGTCTCGCGAAGGACTGACAAGGTGTTAGACTCCCTGATCTTAAGAGGTAGTTCATTCCATGAGCGACAAACCCGTATAATGTATAATGAAAAATTTCGACGTATGAACTGAAAACGATCTTTTGCCATTCTATTCGACAAACTCGGTCGAATAGAGCAGCAGGTCGACCCAAATACAAATCTGTCGAAACTAATTGATTCAAACGTCGAACTTTACATGTGCCGAATCTAATCATTAGATTCGGCACATGCAAAGTTCGACGTTTGAACCGGGCCTTAAGGTCTTGTCATAGTTAGTACTAACTACGGTCTTGTATTTCTGCTCTAACCTCTGGATGTTTATCGCGGTTGTTGCAGGAGGAAATTCCTTTACATGGACCATTGCTGCATTCGTTCTTGTTGTGTCCTGCAGTGTGACAAACAGTACACAACTTTTGCCGCCCGATGCTTCCATTTTCATAATTTTCAAACGCTGGCGTTTTCTCCGTCAGTACAAAATTTCGCGCGCTTTGTGTCTGTGCAACCAAAAGCTCACTGTTTTGCTTAAGTTCTGTTTTCCGCTTCTGAAGATAAGAACTTGTCTGATTACAGACTTGCGGAGCTTTTTTCTCTTCAGCAGTTTCACTTTCAATATTTGCGCTAACAGTGCCGATCAGTGTTGGTCAGGCAGCTGTAGACATTGTTGAACAACACCAAGTTTGACGCTTGTGCAGGTGATGACACTGAACTTCCACGGGAACCTTGTCTGGACGAGGGGAAGAGCTCTCTGGGTGGCAAAGTCTGTGCTTTTTGTCCAGGATTTTCTTGCGTTTCAGCTGTTCGAGTTCGGTCTCAATGATTCTTTTTTCCGCCAACAACAGTTTATGTGGCGAGGGAAACAGCACATCTAGATCTGATGATCTAATTTACTTCAGGGAACTTGATTTTCGAAAACCTCGGCTTTCAAACTCTATTGTTAATCTTTCCAGTCCAAGTCCATTAGAAATTGAACGTAACCAGCGGAAAACATCAGACTCTTGCTTCTTCCGACATGTTCCAAATTCATTGAGTGGGTGCTACACAAATGATTTGCGCGGGAGCTGTCCCGAAAAACAGTTTGACCTATGAAAATTTGGCCTCCGCATTCCACCGTGCCTTGACAAATTGACAGTACAAAAATGCAAATTTTGTGTTGATCTTTGACATTTAAGTAACGTGTTATTTTCAGCGCTTTTGTCACCCAAAGTACTGTGTTTTCTGTACTTTTACCAAATCTTACGTGAAACATCCGACAACTTTTGCATGATGAAAAGGACAGTTGTCCATGATCACTGTGTCACCCCTCTCAAAAATGACAGATCCATCCCGTCTTGTGATGCCAACAGCTTCCTCGAAGAAAAGTAAAAGCTTGTTACCGTTTGACGCACCCTCAATGACACTTACGTAATCTACTCCAAGACAAGAATGCATGAGGTTTACGGTAAAGTTGGCCTGGTCAAGGTAGAAACTAGTGTATTCCTCTAAAGCCTGGATTTTGGAATCGAATGATAAAGAATGAATTTTATTTTTCGTCATCAAAAGTTCCTTTCTCAAAAAGTAACGGATGGTGCTTGCGTGCGGTAGATCGTCAGGGTGGACAACACCATCCAACACTAGCCTGTTCTGCAATTCTGCACAATAAACACTTGGTTCGCAGAGTTTTTCGCTCTCGATACACTCAATGGTACTTGGCGTTAGAACGGAATGCCCTCTGTGACTTTTCGCTGGCTGACAAGAGGTGTTTGTGGCATCGCAGTCACGCATACCGTTTTGAACGAAATGGCGACTTGTACTAAGCTCTTGTGCGATTCCTTTTTGTGAAACATCTTCATGGTGGAGATCTAAGAATCTCTCACCGATTAGCTGAGCTGGACTTCGCCCATTGTCATAGGGTCCTCCGGCATGATTAATTCGTAACTTTACAGACATTTTCGAAACACTGCCTTTTTCCAAACACGAAAACTGAATCGAAAATTTGAAATTAAAAAATAGAAAGCCCCTGGTTGATTGGCTCACGAACGACGAAAGTCAGAAATCTTCTGCTGCTCAAGTGGCCGTCACAAAAAAAAAACGTACATTTTTTTTTCAACGCTAATAGAAACCTTGCTGTAAGTTTAGCCACTCCCGAAGTGTCAGCCTCTAAAGTGCGGGTTTTCCTTATGAAATTCGTCTCCAAAGAAGCCCACAATTCGAGCATCGTTGCCGCCATTTTGAGCACTACCAAGCAGCCAGGCCGCGTATTCCTGACGTAATTCCGTCTGAGAGCGGCTCCGGACAAGCCTTTAAACTACCACTCTGGGTTATGGCTGCTTTTGAGCCATATTATTTTGGACCAAACATGCTCCAAACTACGAAATGATAGCATTGAAAATAGTGAAGTGGAAAATCGCTTGGAAAAAACAGATTTTGGTGACCTTGTGAAGGATGCTAAGTCAGTTGCAGGTATTTTTTCCTTCCCGCCAATTTCGAGTCCGACGGAATGACGTCAGAGAAACACGGCCTGGCTGCCAAGACAATTTCAAAATGGCGGCCTCCGAAGTCGCTTCTTTCGAGACGAATTTCTTCTGGATAGCGGGCACTTCAGAGGCTGAAACTTCGTTGAGTGGAAAAGCTGAATGTATACTTGCTATAAGCGAAGAAAAAAAGTAAGCCTTTTCGAGTGACCTTCTCCTTTGAGTATGTGTTGAGTTCGTTTCAAAGTTCCCCGCCGTTTTTATTTTCGTGTCATGGCCGAGCCCTTTCAGGTACTTTTGCTTTATTTCCCAACTGTTCAGAGTTGTATATTTAAACTTGAGCTTACATTTAATAAGCTTTTCTATCTACAGTTTTTCCCGTCTTAATTTACTTATGAAACATCGCATTTACTTTATGATTTCCCTGTATGATGAGTTTGAAGACTTTCTACGAGTGATTTAAATCATGAAACTTGAAGGCAGTTACAGATTACTCAACAACATTGAAAATAGCTACTAAATTTGCATGTTTCAATAATGCAATGATAGTAAAGGTGCTGGAAACCTCCATTCCTTACTGTTCAGTTCCAGTTTGAACTCTCAAATGTGAAAGCATTCCTGCTTCTGCATGGGAATGCCCAAAACGAAATTGCTGGGTACAGACTTTCTGTTAACTTTAACTAGGTTGAGGTATTTTATTAACAAGCTTTTTTACAATTTCTTGTCCCGTGGACTAAAGAAAGCAGCTTCAGCTTACATACTTCGGCATAAGTTGTACTAATGATAAGTATAAGTTTTATTTGTCTGCAAGTAGAAGAAAACTGTGTCATACTTCTGGATAGGGCTGCCGTACACTCATCTGCAAAGGGAGATATGAACTAGACCCAGAGAAGGCAAATGAGCCATGTTACCGTGTGTGCTAGCTAGTAATGAGGTTGACAGAAAAATGGTCATTCTTCCGAGAACTGACTTTCACTTGGATAAACCTGAGTCAACAAAATCTCCACAATGTTGAAATAGACCAATGTTGATAATTGGCTCCAATGCTTTGAAGAATAACAAGAAGTTGTATCAAGCACAAGAGATATTTGATTTATTCCTCTTAAAATAAAAAAGAGATGAGTAAGGGTTTTAATATATCAAATTTGGCCTAAAGTGTTGCCTATCAGTGGCTAGTTCCTGTAATGAAAGGACAGTTAAGTAAGACAATAAGNAGCTGAGGGACTTACGGCAAAAAGTTGTTTATTTCCATCAACGAAAAGGCAACTAAATATTTACTGAAAGGCACCACGAAGTTTTAAGACTAAAACGGACCAAACACAAATACATTTAACCAATGATGGCCTGACTGAAGATAAAACAGACTCAACGCAAATTTGACTTATATTTACAAATATGTTTACCGAACGACTCGACGGTGGCTCGACGGTCGTGAATGTTGTAGGTTGAGGACTCGACGGACTTACATTGTAACGTAAAATATATTTTATATTTGGAATGACTACAACGGACTAAATATCAGTATTTGGACTCAACAATGGAAACAACGAGGGGCGAAATAAAATAAATAACTTCCAGTCACTGAACTGTTATAACGGATCGCCAGCAGTTGACGCGACCGTCGACAAAACGTTTCATGACCAGCCGATAAGTTTTTACAACCTGTAACATCAATTTGAACAGGGTTGTTATCATCCTTACTACATAATGCAGTGCATTACGTTTCACAATACAAATCAACTGTAAGTGTTACAGAACAAAATGTAATCCCTAACAATATAATCACACGTCGCTTCTAAACAGAGTATAAGGCCCGGTTCAAATGTTCAAACGTTACACGTGCCGAATCTTATGTCAATTTGGGTCGACCCAAATAATTAAGTTCGGCAGTTGATTCAAACGTCGCACTTAATTTAGTCGGACTTAATTGCAAAAATAAAAGAGACACTATTGCAAACGGCGATTATTGCTGACCAAAATGGCAGAAAAAATGCGGGAAAGACAAATTGCGGAATTGAAGAGCTTGTTTTTCTTGCAAGTGCAATCAAGGAGGGCAGAAGAAGGTGACCCTAGATGCAGTTGGCATTAAACAACCAAAGACGATTCAATTTGGTTTGCCTTCTATTATTGGTTATTCCCAATGGATCATCACAGTTCCTCGTTCAGTTCGTTGTTGTCGTCGGTTTCTTCAAAATTAATTTATTTTGTTATTTTCTCTCAAAAACATGACTCGCAGTGCGTCAAAAACAAAATTTAAAAATTACCCTAAACTCATATTAAAAAACAAGATAATTTCGATGAAAAATTAGCACTGAACTTATCATAAAAATAAGCAAACAATGTCTCGCGAAGGACTGACAAGGTGTTAGACTCCCTGATCTTAAGAGGTAGTTCATTCCATGAGCGACAAACCCGTATAATGTATAATGAAAAATTTCGACGTATGAACTGAAAACGATCTTTTGCCATTCTATTCGACAAACTCGGTCGAATAGAGCAGCAGGTCGACCCAAATACAAATCTGTCGAAACTAATTGATTCAAACGTCGAACTTTACATGTGCCGAATCTAATCATTAGATTCGGCACATGCAAAGTTCGACGTTTGAACCGGGCCTTAAGGTCTTGTCATAGTTAGTACTAACTACGGTCTTGTATTTCTGCTCTAACCTCTGGATGTTTATCGCGGTTGTTGCAGGAGGAAATTCCTTTACATGGACCATTGCTGCATTCGTTCTTGTTGTGTCCTGCAGTGTGACAAACAGTACACAACTTTTGCCGCCCGATGCTTCCATTTTCATAATTTTCAAACGCTGGCGTTTTCTCCGTCAGTACAAAATTTCGCGCGCTTTGTGTCTGTGCAACCAAAAGCTCACTGTTTTGCTTAAGTTCTGTTTTCCGCTTCTGAAGATAAGAACTTGTCTGATTACAGACTTGCGGAGCTTTTTTCTCTTCAGCAGTTTCACTTTCAATATTTGCGCTAACAGTGCCGATCAGTGTTGGTCAGGCAGCTGTAGACATTGTTGAACAACACCAAGTTTGACGCTTGTGCAGGTGATGACACTGAACTTCCACGGGAACCTTGTCTGGACGAGGGGAAGAGCTCTCTGGGTGGCAAAGTCTGTGCTTTTTGTCCAGGATTTTCTTGCGTTTCAGCTGTTCGAGTTCGGTCTCAATGATTCTTTTTTCCGCCAACAACAGTTTATGTGGCGAGGGAAACAGCACATCTAGATCTGATGATCTAATTTACTTCAGGGAACTTGATTTTCGAAAACCTCGGCTTTCAAACTCTATTGTTAATCTTTCCAGTCCAAGTCCATTAGAAATTGAACGTAACCAGCGGAAAACATCAGACTCTTGCTTCTTCCGACATGTTCCAAATTCATTGAGTGGGTGCTACACAAATGATTTGCGCGGGAGCTGTCCCGAAAAACAGTTTGACCTATGAAAATTTGGCCTCCGCATTCCACCGTGCCTTGACAAATTGACAGTACAAAAATGCAAATTTTGTGTTGATCTTTGACATTTAAGTAACGTGTTATTTTCAGCGCTTTTGTCACCCAAAGTACTGTGTTTTCTGTACTTTTACCAAATCTTACGTGAAACATCCGACAACTTTTGCATGATGAAAAGGACAGTTGTCCATGATCACTGTGTCACCCCTCTCAAAAATGACAGATCCATCCCGTCTTGTGATGCCAACAGCTTCCTCGAAGAAAAGTAAAAGCTTGTTACCGTTTGACGCACCCTCAATGACACTTACGTAATCTACTCCAAGACAAGAATGCATGAGGTTTACGGTAAAGTTGGCCTGGTCAAGGTAGAAACTAGTGTATTCCTCTAAAGCCTGGATTTTGGAATCGAATGATAAAGAATGAATTTTATTTTTCGTCATCAAAAGTTCCTTTCTCAAAAAGTAACGGATGGTGCTTGCGTGCGGTAGATCGTCAGGGTGGACAACACCATCCAACACTAGCCTGTTCTGCAATTCTGCACAATAAACACTTGGTTCGCAGAGTTTTTCGCTCTCGATACACTCAATGGTACTTGGCGTTAGAACGGAATGCCCTCTGTGACTTTTCGCTGGCTGACAAGAGGTGTTTGTGGCATCGCAGTCACGCATACCGTTTTGAACGAAATGGCGACTTGTACTAAGCTCTTGTGCGATTCCTTTTTGTGAAACATCTTCATGGTGGAGATCTAAGAATCTCTCACCGATTAGCTGAGCTGGACTTCGCCCATTGTCATAGGGTCCTCCGGCATGATTAATTCGTAACTTTACAGACATTTTCGAAACACTGCCTTTTTCCAAACACGAAAACTGAATCGAAAATTTGAAATTAAAAAATAGAAAGCCCCTGGTTGATTGGCTCACGAACGACGAAAGTCAGAAATCTTCTGCTGCTCAAGTGGCCGTCACAAAAAAAAAACGTACATTTTTTTTTCAACGCTAATAGAAACCTTGCTGTAAGTTTAG